TGATCACGTGATCATGGGGATGCTTCAAAGGTCGTAACTGAAAAATGGTCATAGGTCACTTTTTGAGTGCCATTGTGACTAAATGCATTTTTGTAAGTTGAGGACTATATGCACTTTTCCGAAGAGCAGTGAAGGCTCTTCTACACGGCTCTTGGGAATGAAAAGAAGTTATGATTATGTGAGGGGAGTAGCAGTATGTTTTGAATCAGTTATCTAGATAGCCTGAAGTATTTTGCAGGATTAAGGAAGTCTATAATACTGTATATTCAGTAGGAACTGAAGTTGTCAGCTCAGATCATTTTAAATCAGCCCATAGAAGAGAATTCAAGAGAATTTTACAATATGTGCATTTTTTTTACTAGCACAATTAATTTAGTTTTAAAAGATAAACGTCTCATTCCCAGTGCAGGAATAAATAATAAAGTAGCATTCACAATCCTAGCAAATCTGTTTATCCAATTATTTGCCTGTGGTCTGTTTATATTGCTGTAATCTTCTGTTTCCTTGAAACTTTGCATTATGATGTAAACCACAAAACCACGGTTTCAGTGGTTTTCGAATCTTGCATCAAGGATATAAAAGCAGGTTATGTGTAATACCCAGAATTACTTGGATTGATTCCACGAAACTTTCCTTAGCCAAAAGTAGAAAGAAACCAAAAGTTTTAAAAAGATGTCTGTCTCATATTTGTGCCAAAATTAGGCACATTCATTGCTTTCTTATCATTTTTTGTCTCCGCTGATATATTTAAATGTAAAATAACAGAAAGTATTGTTCATACAGTCCATATCCCAGGATTTTTTAAAAATGATATAATATTTATAAATGCTTTAGCAATTAACAATATACTTTTGACTACATGTCTGTACAAGATGTTTTCCTGAAACATTTTCAGGGAAAAAGGGAATAGTTTAAAAGTTGCTATTTTTAATTTCAAACTGGACGAGAAACAATTCAAAATCATAAAATTGAAATATGAATCATGTATAATATATAGAGATGGAGAGCAAATTCATATTTACGTACAAGAAATGTATTCTAAATTTTATTTCTTCTAGAGTATGAATTAATTCAGATTTATAATTGCACTGGCTAAGATAAGCAATCTAGAATACACAGTTAACTGTTCTTTTTTTTCTTCTTCTGCTTGTTGTGCGAAGACGTAGTACACTTTTAGGAGTTCCTCGACAAAAGCTCTTTGATCAAAGACTTGCATCAGATAACTCTTTTGAGATTTATTGCATAAAAGGGTCTCTTTGAGGTTTAAAGTGTTGCATGATCAAGGGTTATTAAAATCAAGCACATGCAATTTAAATATACTTTAATTCACTTAGTCATTGAAGCTGATCTTACAAAAGCCTTAAACTTATAGCTCACCATTTGATTTGACTATTGTTTTGTTTCTGAAAGCCTACATGAAGAGATTGATAGCGCTCTCCACTGCGGTAAATAGTTCAGGGTTTCTTTAGCCACATGGAGAATGCCTACAATCGTAAGAACTGTTCTCTTATTTTTTTAACGGCAAAGAAATGTAAAGCCGTTCTCACCTTCAGAAGTCAACTAAACCAGACAGCGTTTGGCGCTCACACAATTCTGATACATTTAAATTAAAAAATAATAGTAATAAGTTTTGTTTACGTTAATCCCAAATTGATGAGCTGTTAGCACCATACTGAAGAGCTTTGTTCTTCTGCCATTTTTTCATTTCATTTCATTTATTATATTTATATGCTGCCCTTTTCCCCCGAAGGGGACTCNAAGCGTGGAGTTAACTGGCTGCCCGAGCAGAACCTCATTGCCCGGGGCAGAACACTTATGACTGTTGATGTGTCCCAAGGTCACGTGATCACTTTTTGCAAACTTTTGACAAGCAAAGCCAATGGGGAAGCCAGATTCAGTTAACAACCAGCTTACCAACTTATCAATTGCAACGATTCACTCAACAATTGTGGCAAGCAAGGTCGTAAAATGGGGCGAAACTTGCTTAACAAACATCTCACTTAACAACAGAAATGTTGCGGTCGTAATTCGAGGACTACCTGTATAGCATTTTGAACCGGCTGTAGCTCTGGAAGCCACAGCTGAATCAAAATGCAGTGTCCTAATTACTAGTTTTCCCAAGTGCTTCTGCACATGTGATAACATCTACAGTGGGAGCTGCACTGGTTGCCATTTGGCTTCTGAATGCAATTAAAGGTTCTGGTTGATACCTTTAAAACCCTGTGTAGTACCTGGATAACTTTGAGACTGCCTCACCAGCTGGAACCTTCTCCTATTGGAGGGAAAGCATGGTATGAGTTCCTTTCCAACAGAGTGTGAATTTTAGGGGCCTCAAAGCCATCTCAGTGGTGGCCTCTTCTTTCCAGGGTCACCAACAAAAGGGCGAACGACAAAACCGCGCCCGACTAAACCGCGTCGCTGACGTCATCAACAGGGCGACAACAACGCGGAGACAGAAGCGCGCTGTAAAAGTAACCCTAAACCTCAACTTAACCCCTAACCCGAAACCTAACCCGAAACCTAACCCGAAACCTAACCCTAAACTTAACCCTAAACCTAACCCTTAACCTAACCCTAAACCTAACCCTTACCTTAAGTTAAATCGGCTTTCTTTCGACACACTATTGTAAAGCACCCTTCTTTCTCCGCGCTGGCTGTTGTTGCCGCATTGATGACGTCAGCGACGCGGTTTAGTCGGGTGCGGTTTTGACGTTCGCCCTTTTGTCGGGTCACGTTCTTTCCAAACAGTTTGCCCCTAAAGATAAGGATGGTTCCTTCCCTGTTACAGGTAGTCCTCAACTTAGGACCACAACTGGGCTCAAAATTTCTGAGTTGTTAAATGGGTTTTGCTCCATTTTATGACCTTTCTTGACACAGTCGTTGAGTGAATCATTGCAGTTGTTAAGTTAGTAACACAGTTGTTAAGTGAATCTCGCTTCCACATGGACTTTGCTTGTCAGAAGGTCACAAAAGTTGATCATGTGGCCTTGGGATACAGCAACAGTCATAAGTACCCGTTCTGACCCCCCTTCTTCGCTCGTTCACAGACGACAGGCAGACTTAAAAGGAAATAACTTTATCAGTCCTGGCTCCCGCTGGCTGCGAGCCCAAAATAAACACAAATAAAGTCTC